AGAGGCGGCCTGGCTGGCTGATGCCGGCGTTGCATCCCTGTTATTGCCTGCTTCCACCTGGTGGCCAGAAGCGGGGACGGCAGGCACGCGGAAAAAGAGCCGGGCATGGCCAGGATCTGTGTCCCTTAATAGGACAGCTGATTGTGGTCCCCACCGGGCTTTTTCTACCACTTTCCTGCCTTTTGAGCTCCGCTGCGTTCTTCCAGTGGAAGAACTTCCCGCGTGCGATGTTCTTCCCTGGGAGGGAAGGGACCAGGATAACCCCAGAAGCCTCCGCGCCGCTGAGCTCCTGTCACAAATCAGGCATGATTTTTCACAGATATTTCTTTAAAAAGTTTGAAGGCCTCGAAGGACTCTCTTCCCTTCTCTCTGGGAACAAGCATCAAAGAACAGGAACAAAATGCTTTGCATGCACATCAAGAACACTAATTGCCAATTTGGCAAATGCATTGACTAATGTCATGCACTGCTATTTCTAAATCCTCTCCCGTCCTTGACCCCCAGTATCTAGATGTAAACTTGGAACCATTAGTGGGGCAGGATAAAGTCTTCGGGTGCCTCCAATGGAATTGAGAGGGATTTAAACTCAGCGCTTTTGAGTGTGGTGAAATGAACTCAGCAGTACATTAATGCTAGGATTTGAGCTCACACAGCGTGAGCGCTTTCAAAAACCGTGTTTAAGGAAGCAAACAGAGCCGCGACAGGCCCTTTCAGGGGAGCCAGAGGAGTCGGATGAAACAATCAATGACACGTTACAAACCACAACTGGGCTGCAATCATGTGGGCAGCAGGAAAGTCTCTCTTTATCACGGGATCTTTGCGTCTAATGAGACAGCGCCTGGGCGTTCGCGTTAGCCGGGAAATGTCTAAATATTTAGCTGATGCTCTTCAAAGCCTTACACGATTCTGTAGCGAGCCGGTCTCTAAGGTCCGACCTTATTGCCACTGGGAAAAATCTGTCCAAAGGGAATTCATTGGAAAAGCCAGAAAACGTGATGATGAAAATACTCGTGTTGATGTGTTTCCTTCTCAAAATGAACTATGGCTAGTGTCCTTCAAAGACTTCGTTCAACAACAGCACGTTGCCAGTAAGGACTTTCTCTTAATTGACTCTGCCTCCTTCCCTACTTCGGAAACATGCGTGCGTTCTTCCTGTTTGCTCAGAGTGAGCCCCACCCCCCACGGCATGGCAGGTCCGCGGACCACCTGGCCCCTCCGCAGTGCTGGGGGCACAAAAGGGGAATGACTGTGACTCCCAAGTGCCTTTTCTTGGGCGTGGAAGGGGGAGCTAAGAAAGCTGCAGGAATTTTCTAAAACTGCCCATGGGAGTCCATCGTTGAAATTCACACCATGGTCTTAGCACATTTTAGCCTAAGATGACCATCGCGTGTGCTCTGAGCTTCGAGGGTCTTCTAGGCCACATCTCAGTCATGGCAGCAACTGGGACTCGAACCTCTGCTGGCTCCCTGATGGTAGAATTCCCTCTGGCTTCCTGTGGCCTCTCTTAGGCGTCGCCGCTGGCACTTCTCCCTTCCCCCACGGAGGCGGCCAGCTCAGCCCCAGTTCCCCGCCAGTTTGATTAATGTGTCTTGGCTAATTGTGTGAAAGATGGCAGCCCTTTAGCAAGTGTGACCGGTTTATTGTTGAGCCAATCAGGGGCGCCTCGGTTCGCGTGTGAAAAGGGGGTGTGTTGCCAGGGAGGCTGAGTGTTTGGCGGCAGAGTCAAAGCAGGAGCGTTTTGGGGGGTCACACAGCAACACCCACTTCTTTGAGGGGGTGTTACTATGCTCTACTAAACCTGTAAACCTCTTACTCAAAGCACTTTTTCTCTCCTCCCTCTTTTTTCAAGATCTTTTTTTTCCCATGGTGCGAGCAGGCAAGACACCGGCTACTCTGCAGATGGAGTTCACGTTCCAGGGTTTTTAATATTTCACTTTTATATTTCTGTTAGAGAATGATCCTGCTGAGAGTCTGGGAATCCGTGCTCCTCAGAACCCCCTCACTGACACTTGGATATATTGCTCTGAAAGCTATCCCAGGAGAAAAGATTAAACAAAAAAAGCCTACTTTTCAAAGCCTACTTCTCAATCTGCCCACATCAAAATAAGACAACTGGCCCTTTGAAGTGGAGGACACGGAGTTCTCAGCCGGCTTGCTTAGAATGGAGAGTGGGGGAGAAGAAAGGAGAGAAAGGGAGGAAGGCAGGAGGGGGGGCAGGGAGAGAGGGAGGGAGGGAAGGAAAGAAGGCAGCAAGCAAGGAGGGAGGGAAGGGGGCAGTCTCTAAAACTCACACAGCCCGCTCACCTTTTCCAGACTGAATCAGGCGCAAGAGCCTGAATTGATGGCTAGAAACCTGCCTTCCAGAGCCCTAAGAAAACAGGTAACTCATCAGAGAAACTTGTCCCGCGGCATTAGCACCAGGTGATTTTTAAAAGCCCTGGACAAACAGAAGCTATATTGTTCTCCCAGACAGAGTTCCAACGGTGCTAGAAACAACAGAGTGGACAAGGATGGACACTGGGTGGGTCCCTCAAGTCCGGAGCCACCAAGCTCCCTCAAAATTATACCAGCTGAATGCCAAGTTTGGAGGCGCCACTCCTTAGAATGAAAAGGAATGGAAGAGAATGCTTGTCCAGAATGGTGTTAACACAGGTCTCACCTGTGACGTTTTTCTGGCTCCCATCTCCTCTTTGGTTCCCCTTAATTATTGAAATTCAGGTGTATGGCAGCAGCAGCCACAGCTCAGGAATGGAGATGGGTGGGTGGGGCCCAAAAGGATCTTTCGATTGACACAAGGGGATGCTCCTGTCTGACAGATGTTAATGGCCCTTTTGAAACACAGTCCTATGAGTGAGTTAGCAATAGTACCGATCCCACGCCCAAGACATGCTGGACTTTTAAGATTCATAAAGATGGTTAGAAATCTTGATGTGGCTAAGGTGACAACTCCCTTTCTTTCCTAAGCTCAGCCTGGCCCTTACCACAAGCTCCCTGAGCCTATGGAAGCAAGGTTCAAAAATGAGTACCCCAGAAACAAGAGAATTGGTGAACGAGTGTGGACGAATGGATCCAAAGCCCCGCTCCAGAGGTGCAGGAATCCACCACAGCCATCCCTGTAGCCCCAGCAACACTGCATAGCACCTAGCAGATGGCAGGTGCTTCACAATGAGGACTGGTTTGAGTGAAATTGAATCCTACTAGAAAAGCGATGCAGAATTTGAACATACTGATGCTGGGCTTGGAGAATTTTCTTTATAAATAGAAATTTAGATGTAAACTTGGAACCATTTCTTTATAAATAGAAATTTACTTAGAAATAAGACCAAAATGAAAAACATAAAGTATTTCTATTTAATTGGAACCCCAGTGTCTTATTTAGCAAAGAATCAGAAGGGAAGCATTTTGTCCAAGTTTCTAGCACTATTATTCTCACCAAAGCACTCTGTATTAGAGATCCTTGTTTATTGCCTGGACCAACCTGAAACCCACACGTGTGAGGCTTGGGGAACAACCTGTGCTCATACTGAAAATGGCAGCTTTGTTTTGACATCATCCCCATTGCTCTCCGCACCCATCTGTCACCCTAACCTTCTGCTTGCATCCATGTCAGGAAGCCGAGGAAAGTAAAGGGTCCCATTTTCACCCAGATGGAGAGTTGAGTGGACAAGGCAGGCAGGAACCAGGTTGTACCCAGAGACAGGAGTTACTGTTGTAGACTGGACCACAGTCCACAGTCTCTACAAGAGCATAACCTTTGTTTTTCGCGCAGAGCAAAAGGAAAACGCACGATTCCAAGACTTTTGGAATGAGGGACATTTTTCTCACCGTTCAACTCAGGCAAAAGCATTCGAAATAGGAAACCATTCGTAAGTGATTCCAAGGCCATTAAACGATGGAAATGACCATTCACAAGGCGGCTTTAAGGACTTTGCAGTTAGTCCTGAGCTCTGTGAAGAGTTCCTGTAACCCTGACCAGTTCAAGATACACGATCCCAGTGTATAGCTGCTTTAGCAAAAGTGTTAGATGCTGGAGACAAGAAGAAAAGAATCCCAGCTCCCCATGTCTTTTGTTTTCTTCCTTTAATCTCTAAATTTCTTACTCACCTGGACGCTAGCCAGGAAAATCTCATACCAATGTTAGTAATGGCAACAATTTGGGAGAATCTTATATTAAGTCACGTGAGGATAGAAGAATATAAAGACCAGTAAATATGGCTTCGAGCGTATGCATCCTAATGTTGTCCTTATCGGTACGCTTCTGTCTATCTCCCCATTAATCCTGCCACTGAGTCCAGCTTTGGCCTGGCCTTCACTTGCTCCTCCAGCTCCTGGAACAACCCTTCGTCCTGTGGCTCATCTGACTGGCTTCTTCCTTCTGCCTCAGGACCCTTGATGTGACTCTCGGGTAATCTGACTCTTGGGGCCATTTCTCAACCACTTCCTCACAGACAGTACTTCCAACACTTACAGATCCACCTCCCACAGCCAGACTAACAGACTCAAATGTGTGATAGATAATGACCGAGTCCAGAACAAATGGATGAATTCTTGGTAAGAACAATCTAGAGCCATCTGAGCTGGCTTGTCCTAAGCCTGGGGAGCCTCTTCCCACCCCTTTCCATTGTATTAGCTTTCTTTCATACTTTATGAGGATCACTGATCTACCAAATAAACTCCATGATAACCCGGAGGCTCAAAAGTGAGACCACCTCTTGAGTTGTTCTTTGGAGTCATTGTATTTGGAATCTGATGTGAAATGATAGTCATTTCAATTCTTTTTCAGCTTGTTCCTTGTGTTTCACAGAATGTCACTGATCTAACCTCAACTACTATTTCAGAGTGCTTCTCATAAAAGGACTGGTGAAGGAATATAAGAATCTAGAAATCCATTTAGCTCTCTCTTTGCTATTAAGTTCTCAATGCAAGCAGAACACTGTGTGGCCAATGCCCTCCTTCCACTGCTAACTCTCAGAGTGTGCAGAAGCTTGTGTCAGTGTTACCTGGGTTGTAGTTAGGTAGCTTGGAGACTCCAGGCCAGGTATCTTCCGTAGGGACTCCCAACACCTACAAAAAGCCAGAGAAAGACAAAGAAGAGTGAGTGGGGAGACAAGGTGGATGGAGCAGATATGGAGACATAACAGAAATATAATGGGGAGGAAACAGGTGTGTGTCCCATTACATCAGCTCCTGTATCCGAGGAGCAAGCTTTACCTCTTCTAGTATTTGTAGTTTATCGGGAAACTTCCAGTGTATTCCTGGGGTCCTGGACCCGTGTCTCCACTAACTCACTCGTAATCCTGAGACAGACCATAAAAGTCATTTCCCTAAATATTGCACAATCACTGGCTAAAGTGATTTCTCTAAATACCGCACAATCACCATGTATTAGGATATCACGCTGGGAGTTGGGGACCTGTGCAAGCAGAAGCGACTGCCCCTTTGCCTGACATAAGACGGCCGCATCTTTACTGACAAGAGACACTTGACAGCTTGAATTATGCCTCAGCGTGGGCATTCAGCTGTGCTCAAATTTGAAAGGATTTGGATTCCTGACCTTCAGGCAGTGGAATGTTGGCTGGAAATGACCCCAAACCTAACTCCAGTCCTTCCTACCAAATTCATCTGCTCTGTTTGTTTTCTCTGTGGCCAGCAGCTTGGAATATGGCATTGGATTTTCACTGGTGTATGATAATGTACATATCACTTGAAGAGGAGCGGTCTATGTTCTGGTTTACCAAGCTGAAGCTCTAGTTTTTAATTAAGGTGTTGTGTGAAAGTAAAAGTCGTTTGGAATACAATGCCGAAACAGCTCAGATTTTGGGTGGAGCTGTCACCGTGTGTTTCCATGTAGGCATCACCTTACCAATCCTAAAAGCCTGTAGCCGGTTATATCTGGGAGCCAGAACAACATTTTGGTGAAAGATTAGTGAAACAGTAGTAGCCTTCATGACTCCTCTGCAATAAAGCTCTTTGATGAAGCATTATCGCAGTATAACTCTTTTGAAGCATGTCTCCAAAAATCTACCGGATCCATATGCAAAACAGTGACTATGTAGCTGACACCATTTTTAAGGCCGGAAGTCAATTGCCTGACAGTGACTGGACATAATCAATGAGGAATCTAGGACCACCATGTCTATCAGTCGGCAGACTAGGCCTCCGACGGAGAGCTAGAATAATTTTTGGTTCCTGTTCAGCTTGTCTTCAAATGAAAGACATTTAAGTGTTATTTTCCCTCATATAATAGCAAATCACGATACCCAATCAAGTCTTCCTTCTTTGATCCTCTCCCTAAACAACCTGAAAAGCCAGTGAGCGTCTTCGAGGCCTTCCCATCACCCTCTCTGAGCCAGAGGGAGCCCTAAAGATCTTGGAATCCAGTTTGAAAAACCAACTGGACAAATTCTTTGGTGGGGGAGGGCCGGGAAGGGAAGCTCACTTCTCTTTTGGAACCGGAACAGCTGATGTGTTTGGACAGACGCACGTGTAAACAAGTAGGTGTGACTCATGTGTGCCTTTAAGAAAGCAAAGATAAGAGACAACAATCCAGGAAATAAATAATCACATCTCTGTCTTCTCTAAGGTGAGAGCTCTCAGAACTGTTGGTTACTTTGTACTATGTTTTACTAACGTTGACAAAAGGGGTTCCAGAATTTTTTGAAAATCTTATGTTGAAAGCTTCAAGCTTGAGCTTTTAAAAGCTTAAATAAAATTCAAAATACTTGATTCTGAAATTTGAGGTGCAGTTCCTGTTTGAAAAGTATTGAATTTTTTTTTTCACTTGAGAAAATGACTGAATCTCCCATTCACTGCCTGGGAAACTGAAAACTAAAAATGGTTGATTTATTCCCTCCCTGAAGGCTTTTAAAAGGCAGCCAGTGAGTGCTATGTTTGAAACCACAGTGGACTGGAGAGGCTGTTTATCTGCCTTTATTGGAATGGAAACTAAAGGCATTTTGATTAATGGATTTAAAGTCAGGATAGTTTATCCTGATTTTAGAACTGAATCCAGGATTATGTGCAAAAAATCAGTTATTAAAAGAGTTAGATTTAAAATTTATTTATTTGCATTTTATTTGAAAGACACAGAGACAGAGGCAGAGAGACAAAGAAAGATTTTCCACTGGCTGGCTCGCTTCCCCAAATGCCCACAAAAGTTGGCAGCTGGACCAGGTCAAATCCAGTAGCTCAGAACTCCATCCTCGTCTCCCACATGGGCGGCAGGGATCCAAGTCCCTGAGTTCCCATCTGCTGCCTCCTGCATTGCACATTTAGTAGGAAGCTGGATTATAAGTGGAATAGCTAGCAGCTGGTGCCGAGGCTCACTAGGCTAATCCTCCACCTGCGGCACCGGCACACCGGGTTCTAGTCCCGGTTGGGGCGTCAGATTCTGCCCCGGTTGCTCCTCTTCCAGGCCAGCTCTCTGCTGTGGCCAGGGAGTGCAGTGGAGGATGGCCCAAGTGCTTGGGCCCTGCACCCCATGGGAGACCAGGATAAGTACCTGGCTCCTGCCATCGGATCAGCGCGGTGCGCCGGCCGCGGCGGCTATTGGAGGGTGAACCAATGGCAAAGGAAGGCCTTTCTCTCTCTCTCTCTCTCTCACTGTCCACTCTGCCTGTCAAAAAAAATAAAAAAAATTAAAAAAAGATGGTAAAATACAGATTGAGAACTCCTCGTTATGTCTTTATTCCTGAAAGTGGGATCTCAGGATCGAGGCAGAGGCCACTGTGCTTAGAGGCTGGGAGATCTGGGATGGATCTATTGCTTTCAAAGAAGCAATTCCTTCATAAAATATCACAGAGCCTGAACTAGCTTTCCATTTTTATCTGTGTAGACAGATAAAATTACTAAATCTTTATTACTAAATTGTAGTTTACTAAATTACATTGAGTAAAACACAAATTCTGGAGCTATCGGTCCTTCGTTTACTTTTCTAACCTGCTTCACAGGCAACAAAAGCAGAAATGGACAAATGGGATCACTAACAATCACAGCAAGAGAAACAACAGAACGAAGAGACAACCTACAGGATGGGAGAAAAAATTTACAAACCATGCTTCTGACAGGGTTAATATCCAAAATATACAAGGAACTCAAAGAACTCAATAGTAAAAAGACAAATAACCCATTTTTTAAAAGATCAAAATACCATGATGGACCCACAAATACAAAAAATGCCCATCATCTCTAATAATCAGAGAAAGGCAGGCAGGTTATGGCCACAGTGAAATCTCATCTCTTGCCAGCTGCTACTATCAAAAAGAACAAAGATAGGTTTTAACAAAGATGTGGAGAACTAGAATCCTAGCAAGCTATTGACGTGAATGTAAATTAGTACTGCCACAGGATAGGTGTTTGGTGCAGCGGCTAAAACACTCTTTGGGGTGCCTGCATTCCAGGTTGGAGGTTGAATGTGAGTCCTGGCACTTCCGCATCTGATCCAACTTCCTGCTAATGCTCTCCCTGAAAGACAGCAGATAACAGTTCAAGTATCTGCGTCCCTGCCATCTAGATGGGAGACCCTGATGGAGTTTTGAGTTCCTGGCTTCAGCCTGGCCCAGCCTGGCTGTTGTGGGAATTTGGGGAGTGAACCAGTGGATGGAAGATATCTCTCTCTCTCTCTCTCTTCCTCCCTCCCTTTCAAATAAAATAAAATAAAATAAATTGGCCAGCGCTGCGGCTCACTAGGCTAATCCTCCACCTTGCGGCGCCGGCACACCGGGTTCTAGTCCTGGTCGGGGTGCCGGATTCTGTCCCGGTTGCCCCTCTTCCAGGCCAGCTCTCTGCTGTGGCCAGGGAGTGCAGTGGAGGATGGCCCAAGTGCTTGGGCCCTGCACCCCATGGGAGATCAGGATAAGTACCTGGCTCCTGCCATCGGATCAGCGCGGTGCGCCGGCCGCGGCAGCCATTGGAGGGTGAACCAATGGCAAAGGAAGACCTTCTCTCTCTCACTGTCCACTCTGCCTGTCAAAATAAATAAATAAATAAATAAATAAATAAATTAACATGATCTAGCACTTTCCACACCCAGGCACTGGGCTAGGAAACAACACTGTGTTGAAGAGATAGCTACGCCCATGTTCGCTGCAGTGTCATTCAGAATCACCAAGCTACGGAATCAACCTAGCTGTCTGTCACCGATCTTGGATGCATAAAGGAAATGTGGTGCAGGTACATGAAGGAATGCTATTCGGCCTTCAGAAAAGGAAATCCCGTTATCTGTGAGGACATGGATGAAGCTGGAAGTCGCTATCAAAGGAAATAAGCCAGGAACAGGATGACAAATACCTCATGATCTCACTTGTCTTTGGAAGCTAAAGAGGCTGAAACCCCAGGAGCAGAGCGTGAAGAGGTGGAGACTGCAGGTGGGAGATGATGGTTGAAGGATGCAAAATTTCAGTTAGACAAGAGGAAGAAGTCCAAGAGATCTACTGTGCAACCTTGTATTCTTGACAGGCACCAGAGACTAGGTTTTAATTGCTCTTACCACAAACACTGGTAAGTATGTGATGCAATGCCAGTGTTCACGTCCTTGATTTGGCCGTTCCACAATGCACATGTGTTTCAGATCATGTTACACACAATAAATATAATTTTTATTTTTTATTTACCAAAAAAAAACATCAGCCTGGATCTGAAGCTTACCCAGGGTTACTCAGATGCAAAACTCAGCCATATGGATCAGCTGCATATACACGTCGGGTGTCATTAACTATGATGTCAGGGACGCCATCCCTTCCGCCAGGCTTTTCTCTTGTTTGGCATTTTTGCTGTAACTTTGTGTGAGCTTGAGTGTGGCAAAACTACTCGGGGACATTATTTCCTCATTGGGAAAAACAAAAAAACTTGAGTCTGAATTTGTAGAGTCCCTCCTTAGCAGTCTTCCTTCACAGGTGATCGGAAGACTTTATCGTGGCTTGAATTTTGGTAAGGCGTGCCAGCAACAACCATGCTTTACTTACAGGGTAAATTAAATCCAAGTGCTATTATTCAGCACTTGCCACACACCAGGCACTGGGCCAGAAAAAAGACTTCTGACCTGCCTGAGGTGTGGTAGTATAGAAGACAACGTGGGTGTGGACGGTGGGGACTCTCCCTTTGTCTTCAGATTGTGGAACTACAGATGTAAAACAAGACTGTGGTCTCTCCCTGCTTGGATGGGACCATGGGAAAATGAGATGTAATCAACTCCAACCTCCTGATGCCTGTAAAAATACAGTTCGCAGCAGCAGGCTTTGGGGCTCAGCAGGTTAAGCCACTGTCTATGAGGCACACAGGCTGTATCAGAGTGCAGGTTCCCACCCAGCTCCCTGCTAGTGCACCTGGGAAAGCAGCAGATGGTGGTCCACATACTTGGGCCCCTTCACCCATGTGGGAGAACTGGAAGGAGCTCCTGGCTCCTGGTTCTGGCCTGGCCCAGCCCTGGCTGTTGTGGCCATTTGGGGAGTGAGTTAGTGGATTGAAGATTCTCTCTCTCTGGCACTCTTTCAAATAAACAAATAAATAAATCTTAAAAGACTATAGCTAAGTGATTTAGAAATATGTCCTTGAGTCAACAATGAGCTATGAAAGTTTACCAACTTGAGAAATACTTGAGGGAAAAATGTCCTGAAAAGAGTAGAATATGACAATCTTCCAAAAGTCCAAAACCCATATGTGGTTTGGAAAAAACCTCATGGACTTTCATTTGTTCTACACCAAAATAAACTGTCGCTCCCCCATTAGCGGAGGAACAACACTGAACCCTGCGCTGTTCTTTCTACCCGGCTCTTCCCGGGTTAGCTGCCGGCCCCTCTACCTCCGTGGAGGGGCGGCATCCCCCGCCACTTTCCCCGCTTCCGTGGAGGAGCGGCACACCACCGGCCGGCTCTCTCGGGGGCTGCTCAGATGTTCCTCAGGTGTTCCTCTTAGATGTTCCTGGTGCATGTTGTCTCTCTCCTCCTTTATAGTCCTCTTCCACCAATCCCAACTCTGCTACCCACACGCTGAGCATGCTCCTCTCCTCCAATCAGGAGCAGGATCAGCTCCTGCAGCTTATCAAACTGATGAGGCAGCTGCGTAGAGGTTGTTTGGTCTCTCTCTCTCAGCGCCATATTGTGGGAGAGCAGATGCATAGAATAAGTCTTAATTCCAGTAACTTAGTCTAGTCTCAGTTGCTCCCCACAATAAACCTATGTTTTTATTCCATCTCCCATAAGCTTTTGGAAATGCCCTTGCATGATGATGGAAAATGAGAGCGGAGCTACAATGTCCTGTACCTTCTGCTCAGAGAAGTCACAGCATCACAGAGTCAGAGAACCCAACACAATTCAAGATGCTGAGGCCCAGAGAGGTTGGTTACAAGACCCGCTGCACCTCACACCTGAAGAGGGCGCTGCATTTGGACCTCACCAATCCTGACTTCAGGTGGATGTTATTTCTCACATGCTTACTTGTTTCACACTTGTGATGAGTTGTCATACACAAAGTTGTCAAAATACACCTTTGACTTACTGTGGTGCGGGGAAGACAGCAGCAGACAGGAACATGGCGGCCGGGGAAGGACTTGTCAGACACGTTTGTTTTTGGTTTTTTTTTGGCACTGTCTGTCCAGATTCAAGCCCAAATCCCTTCACTTACTGATTCACTTAAAACATCTTTCAGGAGCCCAGTGTCAGTCACTAAGGCCAATCCTGGAAACTTGAACTAAGAACTAGAAAGTTATCAGATCCTGGGGAACATCTAGCCTACTTTTTCTGTCCTATGATTTCCGGGGCTGTGCTAACTGCAGGGAACTGTAACATAAATGTTTTTTTCAAATAGTACAGAACATTAAAAAAAATAAGTTTATACACAACTCTTCACACCCAAATATACTTGTATCCTTTCCAAGTGGTCTTACACATCTTAGTTCGACATTGCTATTTATACTAGCCATCTATACATACATCCTTTTACGTATTATGTGGGTTCTGTTCATTTCACATGATTTCCTCATGCTCTACTCATCAGACTCTTAGCCTGAACAACACTTGACATTACAGATTTTGCTTCTTCTTATGCTTTCTTTTCTCCATGCCTTGTGGCCTCTGATAAGAATGTGCAAAGTACTTACACAATGATGAATGTCCGATAAGTGTTGCTTCCTGATTGATTAAATCACAAGGAAAAACTCCTTGCGGGTACAGAAGGCCACTGGAAGGTGAGGTCTAGACAATGCTAACTGTGCTTCCTGTACTGTGGGGAAGAAGTGACATGACTACATGCAGAACGGAACAACTAGGTTAAACATCAGGTAACGTTTATGAGCACGTAGGTTATTGAAACCCCTGCCTACAACAATTTATATGAGAGAAGAAGAAAGCCAACATTTATTGAGCACTTCCGGTGTACAGAACTTGTGATGCATTTGGTCTCACAACAAGGCTAGGAAGTCACTATCACTAATCCCAGTTTACAGAGGGAGAACTGAAGCCCAGGGAGACTACATCACTTGTGCAGACTCATTTAAGGAGCAAGTGGCCAGAATTCATGCCACGTCTTCTGACTCCCAAGTCTTAACCTTAGGTTCCTGTGGGGAGCAACTCAGACTAGACTGTTACTCGAATTAAGACATTCTATGCATCTGCTCTCCCACAATATGGCGCTGGGAGAGGAGGAAACAGCTTCTACACAGCTGCCTCCAGTTCAGCCAATAAACTGTAGGACTTGCTCCTGATTGGAGGAGAGCAGCGTACTCGGCGTGTGGGCAGCCGAGTTAGGATTGGCGGAGGAGGACTATAAAGGAGGAGAGAGACGGCATGCACCAGGAACATCTAACGGGAACATCTAAGGGGAACACCTGTGCAGCCCCCGAGAGAGCCGGCCGGTGGTGTGCCGCTCCCCCACGGAAGTGGGGAAAGTGGCAGGGGGAACCGCCCTTCCACAGAGGTGGAAGGGTCGGTAGCCAACCCGGGAAGAACCAGCAGCAAACCCGGGGAGGGCCGAGCAGACAAAAGAACAGCGCAGGGTCCTGTGTCGTTCCTCCACGAAGAGGGGGAGCGACAGGTTCCCTCCAGCCCCACCGATGGCACAGTATCTGATGATGTCATGTGAAGAGAGCATTTCTCTGTCTTGCAGGGGTTTTGAACAAAGGTCTTTTGGCTTGAAAAATATCCTTTTTAGTTTGTGACCGTTTCCCAGTGTTCCCCATGTTTCCTCATAAAGAAAACTTAATGTCTATGATTAATCTTTATAAAATATCTTGATTTCACAAAGTCCCTTTTATTTGAGGCAGAGGAGAAGGAGCAGGTTCCAGGGTAGGAAGTGACTACCCTCCCCCCATTTAAATCACCTTGACACATCCTTCAACCTGCATGAGCCTTGCAAATGTGATGCTATGTGAAGCAAGCCAGATGCAGAAGGCAGATGTTGTACAATCCTCTTAGAGGAGGCGTGAGGAGTAGGCAAATTCATACAGATGGAAAGTAGATGAATGGTTAGCAGGGGGGCTAGGCTGGAGCACCAGGCGGGTTACTGCTGAATGAGTGAGAGCTGCTCTTTGGGACGATGCCAAGGTTCTGGAAATGGTGGCAGTGGAGGAGGCAAAACTCCATGATTCTTCTTAAAGCCAACGCACTGTACACTTACAAACAGTTAAAATGGCAAAGTTTATATCACGTATATTTCAGCCTCATACAAGTCACCCAAAAAGGAACTATGCAGATGACTATAGTATGAGTATAGTACTATATAAGCACATAAAAACAAAGCACACGAAAGGGCAGGTGAAGCAGTGATAAACAATGAATAAAGAAATGGGGCCCAACACACACACAAAGGCATTGTGACACCCTAGGAATTTGGTTGTGGATGAGCATGATAAACAGTATATGTCTCTCGTTTCTATCAGGATTCCATGAAAATTTAATGTCTTATCCTCAGGTGATCAAGATTCAAGGTAAACACATGGAAGAATTAGAGTTGAGGGTGGCAAGGTAGGGACCCAAGAAATTCTCCTGGGGAGTTAAGGTGATGATAATGATAATAATAATAATAGCTGGAGACCGGACGTCACCAGTGGGGTGGATTCCTGGGCTGTCACGGGAAAGCAGCAGGTTTCTTGACCGCTCATTCCTAAGGTGCTTATCCCTGTGGCAAACATCAATTTCCACAACCTAGAGGCGGCTCCCTATCTCAAAGCAGAAGGATCACTGGCGCAAATTGAGTTCAAAGTTCAAAATGCAGGTACTTCTCTTTCTTAAGAGACGTTTTTCTCTTACCTCCCAGATCTTCTCCAGTTGTTCAAGGATGTTGGAAACCCCAGGAAACAGAGGTTGGCCCTGGAACATTTCAATAAAGATGCAGCCCGCGCCCCTGGCACAGGAAGCAAGAGTCAGTGACGCCTTCAAGGAGACTCTGGGTGCAACACTGAACATCAGAGCGCTCCCTGCTGAGAAACACTCCGGAGCTGTTACATAGGGGCCACATGCTACAGAGTCTGGGGCAAAAAAAAAAAAATCGAGTTGTCTGCACCTTTTTGTTAAAATGGAAAACAGTCAGTAGTGGTTAGGAACACGGTATGAAGATATTTCAGGAAGAACAGGAAGAAAAAAAGAAAAAAAAATAGAATGAAAAGTTTATTTTGGTAAAAAAAAAATTGAAACCCATGCATACCTTTTCATAATACACATTTCTATGAACTTTTTGAAGACCCCCTCATATAGTTATTAGATGGTTTAGGTCATTAAAGTTCATGAGCTCTCGGTTTTATAAGAGGGGAAGGTACTGAATCCTGATACTGCACACCCCTTTTCATTGAATCAAGGATGCTATTATTGTAAGAGGCGTCATTATTTTATGTACCATTAGGAAATTAAAGAGGTTGGCCCTGTGGTGCAGTGGGTTAATGCCCTGGCCTGAAGTTCCGGCATCCCATATGGGTGCCAGTTCTAGTCCTGGCTGCTCCTCTTCTGATCCAGCTCTCTGCTATGGCCTGGGAAAGCAGTAGAAGATGCCCCAAGTCCTTGGGCCCCTGCACCCGCATGGGAGACCTGGAAGAAGCTCCTGGCTCCTGGCTTCGGATCAGCATGGCTCCAGCCGTTGTGGCCATCTGGGGGAGTGAACCAGTGGATGGAAGACCTCTCTTGTGGGGAGCAGCCCGGACTAGACTGAGTTACTGGAATTAAGACTTATTCTATGCATCTGCTCTCCCACAGTATGGCGCTGGGAGAGAAGTAAACAGCTTCCGCACAGCTGCCTCCAGTTCAACTAATAAACTGTAGGACTTGCTCCTGATTGGAGGAGAGCAGCGTACTCGGCGTGTGGGCAGCCGAGTTGGGATTGGCGGAGGAGAACTATAAAGGAGGAGAGAGACGGCATGCACCAGGAACATCTATGGGGAACATCTAAGGGAACCCGTGCAGCCCCCGAGAAAGCCGGCCGGCGGTGTGCCGCTCCCCTGCGGAAGTGGGGAATGTGGCCAGGGGGAACTGCCCTTCCACGGAGGTGGAAGGGATAGTAGCCAACCCGGGAAGAACCAGCAGCAAACCCGGGGAGGGCCGAGCAGACGAAAGAACAGCGCAGGGTCCTGTGTCGTTCCTCCACGAAGAGGGGGAGCGACATAATGGTGCCGTGACTCGGATATGAAGCCCAGGCAGGGTTTAGTGTCGTTCCTCCACGAAGAGGGGGAGCGACACTCTCTCTCTGTCTCTACCTCTCTCTCTGTCTCTACTTCTCTCTGTGGCTCTTTCAAATAAATAAAATAAATCTTTTAACAAAATAAATTAAAAAAAAAAAAACCCTGTAAGTTACCCCCTAAGCATGTACTACAAATATGTATCAATTAAATTTTTTTAAATGTTTGGGATAGGCACGACGGCTCAGCAATTAAGATGTCGCTTGAGATGCCTGCGTCCCATAGCAGAGAGCCCAAGGTCAAATCTCGCCTTTGCTTCTGATTCCACTCTCTGCTAATGGGCACCCTGGAAGGCAGCACATGATGGCGCATGTTCTTGGGTCCCTGCCACCTATGTAGGATGGAATTCTGGTCCCCTAGCTTCAGATGGGCCCAGCCCCAGCTGGTGTGGGCATTTGGGAGTGAACCAGCACACGGAAGATCTCTTTTTCCCTGTATAAATCTCTCTCTCTCTCTCAAATAAGAATACATTTTTAAAAATATTTTTTATTTATTTATTTGAGAGGTAGAATTACAGACAGTGAGAGGAGAGACAGACAGAAAGGCCTTCCGTCCATTGGTTCACTCCCCAATGGCCGCTACGGCCGGAGCTGTGCCAATCCGAAGCCAGGAGCCAGGTGCTTCTTCCAGGTCTCCCATGCGGGTGCAGGGGCCCAAGTGCTTGGGGGCATCTTCTACTGCTTTCCAGGCCACAGCACAGAGCTGGACTGGAAGAGGAGCAGCCGGGACTAGAACCAGCACCCATATGGGATGCCGGCACTGCAGGCAGAGGATTAACCTACTGTGCCACGGCGCTGGCCCCAAATAAGAATACATTTTTAACAATCACCATCTCTAAATGCACACAGAAAACACAGCACGGCCAGAATATTTATGTTATACTTATTGAAAGAGTTGTGAAAATTTAGTTGGAGATTGTTTTATCATATATCATCCTGGACAGGCTAAAAAATGTGGAGCACTGAGGAAAGCGAGCTGGCTGCAGTACTTCCAGAGCCTTTTCACGTTCTTCAGTATTTGACCCAGACTCGTCGGTGTTGTGTTTACCCACAGTAGCACTCTCGATATTCAGAATTTGATGATGCAGCATTTCCTAAAATAATCCGTAGAAGAACCAAGAGTCATTGGTGCTGGGCTCCTGAGCTGGCTTTGCAGTTACCTCACTTACTTTTTGACTCCTGCTTAAGGAATGTAGCTAAACATGTCTGATTCACTCCTTTCCACAACCATTTGGTTCCTAGGGGTTAAAAAAAAAAAAAAAAAAAAGCCCTCTGGTCTGCGGGGTTTTCTCCCGCGGCACTGACACCATTCTGCAAGTGTGGATGCTGTCTCCTTTGATGTTCACACTTGTGCACTGGCAGCGTGCTCACAACTGCAGCCTGGCGGGCTCCTGCTGTAAGATGCAGTGGGACTTCACAGAAAGATCCAGCTTGAAGTAGATGTCATAGTGTGAAATACGCATTTTCCTTCCCATGTGGTCAAACTGAAGGCATGTTCTCGAGGGATAGGAAGGAGTAAGATTTATTTTTCTAATAATGCACATTTTTATTGTTGGACATTTTTCGAGTGTTAAAGATGGTTCAGGTCACCAATTACAGATGATCCCCACGGACCAATATTTTCCAAAAAATTTTTTATCCCAAATGCCTTTCACTATAAAACATAATTTTGCGAACTCCCTAAATCATTTCGCCACTCTTGTGTGACATAGTAAAGAAGGAAACTTAAGTAAAACATTTTATTATAGATTGCCATATTACTAAAAATTTATTTTCAAGTTAATTTTGAATATGATTTTTAATAGTATGCATGTGTGTTTATTATGTATGATGAATTTTTACTCTCACTGTCAATACATGCTATTTAATTAGCTTTTCATTGATTATATAAGAGAAAGCAGATTTCCTGACAATAAAGTTTAAAAAATAATGTTTTAATTTTGTATCTGGTTTAGACACAGAATATATACTAAAAGAAAGATTGAAATTTAACTGTATTTTATTGTGTTAAAATTCACAAACTGTTTTCATGACCTAATATTAGGTTTGAACTTAATCAACTGGCTTATTCTTTGTATTTTGTAAAGAAAAAAAAAAAAGATATCAAAAAGTTACAAGTAGGTATCTCCCTGCCTCAAACAACAAGTTGCTTTTATTCTCAATTGAAAAAAAGCCAATTTGGATATGATGACTATCTTTTTTCCTTCTCATTGATTCTTGCTTTTCAAGAGACATCTTGATATGTGATTCAAGAATTTTTTGTGTTTATTTTCATCTACTTGAAAGGCAGAGTAGGAGAGAGGGAGAGAGAGAGAGAGAGAGAGAGAATATCTTCCATTCACCCATTCACTGGTTCACCCCCCACTGGATGCCTGCAACAGCCAGGGCTGGGCCAGGCCAAAGCTGGGAGCCTGGAATTCAGTCTGGGTCTCTCCCAGGCGTGGAAGAGACCCAAGTCCCTGATCCATCATCTGCTGCCTCTCGGAATGGGCACTAGCAGGAAGATGGACCAGAAATGGTATAGCTGGGACTCCACAAAGGCATTCCAACCCCGGAGGTAGGCATCCTGAGTGCGGGCTCCACCTCCTGTGCCACAACCCCTGCCCCAGACACAAGAATCTTGATCAGACAAATGTAACTTATGAACCTAGCCAAGAGCATCTTGAGATGAACTTTTAGAACTGTCACTTTAATGCTCCTCAGTAATTTGTATTTCAACATCTGAGTTCTTTGGAGTCCTGTCTCTAAAACGACAGCTATGAAAAGTATAAATGAAGCCATGCACGCAGGAGAACAGAAGTAATGGACAAGTGTGCAATGGTTAGGACGATGGTATCGCCAAGTGCTCTCCACCCCAGTCACGCCTTCTCCATGTAATCTTGCAAAGCCTCAGGCCACTTCATTTGGAAGCGTGTGTGTAGGAAACACACATGTAACCGTCTTGTGACTTGTTTATAAAGTAGAAATGGAAGTGTGCTGGTCTTTAAAGAGCTGAACCAAGCTCTCCATCTAGTTCCCCAATACCGTCCAGAAATCCCAGAGGCTCAAACTATAGAAGGCTTCAAGGCGTTTCCAACAAGGTTCAAAAAGCAAAGTCTGGCCGGCGCCGCGGCTCACTAGGCTAATCCTCCACCTTGCGGCGCCGGCACACCAGGTTCTAGTCCCGGTCGGGGCCCCGGATTCTGTCCCGGTTGCCCCTCTTCCAGGCCAGCTCTCTGCTGTAGCCAGGGAGTACAGTGGAGGATGGCCCAGGTCCTTGGGCCCTGCACCCCATGGGAGACCAGGAGAAGCGCCTGGCTCCTGCCTTCGGATCAGCACGGTGCGCCGGCCACAGCAACCATTGGGGAGGGTGAACCAACGGCAAAAGGAAAACCTTTCTCTCTGTCTCTCTCTCTCACTGTCCACTCTGCCTGTCAAAAAAAAAAAAAAAAAAAAAAAAAGGCAAAGTCATCTCTAGGTTTAGGCCTGTGGTCCACTTTCCCTACTTGCAAGCTTTCAGAGCCTAGGGAAGGCTTGCTGCCTGTTCATGGTGTCCTTTGTATGGTGGCTGTGTTAAACCAAGAAGAAGGTCCTTTGCACAGTTTCTCAGAGTCCTCTGTCCTCTCTGCCACCGGGATGGTGCACAAACTTGTGTAAAACGTATTAGTGAAAACCGGAACACCCAGACCATTATACAAATACCATAAAATATCACAAGATGTTTTGTTAGAGACATAAAATGCTACTA